CTGAGGCAATGGTCTTCCCGCCAGTTTTGACACCATGTACCCCTCACAAACCAATACACACACATACATGCCTTTGCCCCTCTTCTTGTTTCAGGGCAACACACACACACACGGTCGCCTCGGCACGGGTGATACGTGCATGTGCATGCGCACACGCACACATATGGCGCACTGCGAGAGCATCAAGAGTGCTGGATGGGCACGAAAGCTCCAAGAGTGTATTCAAATGTTGTACCGCTCGGCGCCCTTGCGCACGGGGTTCAATGAGCCGAAGAAGAGATCCTGCATGGCAGAGGGGAAGGGGGCGGGGGATGGCAGGGGGAAAGAGAGCGAAAGGAAGGGGAAGGAAAGGCCGGCATACGGGAGGCAAGTTAGACCGGCATACATGATGCGCCATGCAGGACACCCGGGCACCATGCCCACGCACCGACACACGAACGTCATCCAGCTCGGCGGCCGAATGAAAGGCCAGACCAGGGTCCGGGGCTGGCACGCCACGCGCACCGGAGTCCAGGTCCCCCGCCACACGAGAGCGCTTTGTGGCGCTGGCCGGAGTGCCCGGGGCGTGCCCGCGCCCCGGGGCCCCGACATCCGGCCGGGGAGACGGATGGCCGAGGGCGGAGGAGCCGTGGTCCGCGGGGGCGGCGGAGCCACTTGCCGGGCGTGCGGCGGCGCTGGGCGGGGTCCGCGGCTCGGTGGCATCCCGAGAGGCAGCCACGGCCATGGCGGCCCCGGGGGAGGCCACCGACCGCAGGCCGTCCAAAATCCGCCGGATTTTGCCGCCCCCATTGGCAGCCCCGCCCTTGCGCGATGGACACTCCACCACCGACGGGGTCCATGCACTGGTGGAGGTGGAGTGGCTGCTGGCCGCGAGCGAGGCCAAGTTCGTCACGCGCCCGGGCGTGCCGCTGCCACCGCCCCCACCGGCTGAGCCGATGGACATGCCGGAGGCCACCGAGCTGACCGAGGCCAGGGAGATGCAAGACAGCCGCGAGCCAGCCGAGGCGTCGGTCTCCACCGAGAAGATGGAGCTCCCGCCGGAGGCCAACGACGGAGCCGGCGAGGGGAGGCTGGCGTGCTCGGCCGAGGCGTCCGGCCCGCCGAACAGCCCGGCCAGCCCGGCCAGCGAGGTGACCTGCCGCGAGGGGACCAAACTCCCGGACATGTCAAGTGCCAGGGGCTCGGCCCCGGGGAGGGGACCCCGGCGCTGCCGGGCCCCGGCACTCGGGGGACCGGGCCCGAGCCCGGGCTCCGGGCCCGGCATGCCAGGGTCACCGGGCAGCGCCAGCGGCCCCGGGCCCGCCGGCAAGCTGATGCCCGATGGCTCGTCGGAGGAATGCTGCGCGGCCACGCGGCTGTCGACCACTACCTTGACCGTTCCTTCGAGGCGCAGGTCCGCCTGGACGGACGACGCGCCGGGCGGCACCGGGCCCGAGCCCGAGCCCGAGCCCGAGCCCGGGGCCAGGTGTTCCACATTCTTGCCGGCGATCTTCTGAATGGTGGCACTCAGCGGCCGGGCGTGCACCCGTGCCAGGAGTTGCCGATGAACCGGCCAGTTTTGCAAAACCCCACAGCTGTCATACCCGAGGCGCTGGTAGGCGAGGTGACTGCATGGCAAGGTGTTACTTTTCCCCGGCCGGTGGAAGGACCATGGCGATAGATGGGGGGGAGGGAGGGGGGGCAGGATGGCGGAAAAAAGGGGCAGCCGGCGCGGAGGGCGGGGCACATCTCAGGGCACATGTTCACGCACCGATCCAGCGAATCAAGTTCCGACAGGAAGCGACTCACCTCGACCTCCTCCTCGTCGAGTTGGCGCATCTGCCGGTTCGGGAGATGCACATGTCAGGTACAGGCATCCACACACCATCGCGGGCGCGAGAGACGACAAAGAGGGCGGAGAAAAAAGGCCCGCCCCTCGTGCAGGCGGCCGCCGCCTTGAGCACCATGCATGTGCATGGTGTGCATGGTGTGCGTGTGTGCATGTGGGCGCACCTTCTGGGTGCGATGCTCGTCCAGCTGACGCATGGTGGCCTGGTAGATGCTCTCCAGGGAGCTGCGGACAAAGTCGATGTTGCTGACGACGCTTTGCCGGCGGTTGGCGATGCGCGCTCGTGCGAGGGCCAAAATGTCCCGGCGCTCGGCGAAGTCCAACTCAAGCTACGGACCCCGGCCGGTGGCGGTGATGGGCCCATGGTTAGCGGTGGTGGGTGCAGGGGCCCTGGCATGCTGGCCCGGCGAGGGGGATGATGGACTTCCTCGCCGGGGCGGCATCGCGCGTGTGAGCAGGCAACCGGCGCACCTTCTTCGCCTGGCGGATGACGTCCGCATAGAGAGACTGCAACTTGACCAGTTGGTGGCCGGCAGACGAGTGCGACTCGGCATGTGTGTCCGGCCGAGAATCCCCGGTGTCCATGGCGAATCGAGCATCCGGCGCGCCGAGCCGACAGAACCGACACACTGCAGGGATGTGAGCAAGGGGGCCGATGCCGGGCGGGGGGCAGAAGTGAAGAAAAAAAAAAAAAAGAAAGCCCCACCCCCCTCTCCTGGCCACTGGGCAAGCAGCACCAGCAAACAGAAGCCCCCCCCCCCCCCTACAAGGTGACTCCCCCCCCCCCCCCCCCCCCCCCCCGCCCCGGGATCGGCAGGCAAAGGGCCCCGGGCGGCCTCCTGGAGCCTGGGCACCGGGCCGCCCACACATGTGGACATACCTGGCTCCTGGCATGGGATGCAATAGTGCTCCACGCGCTCTTGCGGGTGCTTGACGCAGTGGGCAAAGTGCGGGTCCCCGGGCTGGACATGGAGACGGAGGCTGTCCTGGGGGAAGCGAGCCGACTCGCCGGTGGCCGGGCCGGAGCCGCCACCGGCACCGACAACGCGCTCGGACCCGGCTCCGGGCCGGATGCGCCCGAGGAAGTTGAGGATGCGCCCATTCGGCCCGGCCGACTGCTGGGCACACACGTGGCACACCCCGGCCAAAGCCTCCGGCTCGGCCCCCAGATTGGCCTCGATGATGTCGAAGCAGTGCGAGCACACCGGCATGCCGGCAGTCTCATTCTGCGGCGCCAGGAAGAGCTCTACAATGAGCAGCGGCCGCACCCGCGAGGAGTCCTTCACCAGGAAGTCATACGATCCCTCAGACACTGGGGTGCGGCATGTTTGGCGTGGTCAGAGCCGGGGGCAGGAGGTGAGCGGAGACAAGCAGGAGCACATGCACACACATGCATATATATATATATGTGTGCACATGCGCACATGTACATACATGCGCACACATGCGCACACATGCGCACACATGCGCACACATGC